AGTTGTCAACTGCTTTGTCTCTTCAAGCTCGTCCTCAGCAAGGGCAGCCGCAGTCTGCAACTTCTCCACCAGATCCTCGACAGCCTTCAGCTTAGCGGCCACAACGTCCCTCTCCAGGGACACCTCCTCGCGACCTTTACGGGCAGCATTCTCAAGCTCCTTCTCCCTCTTCTCTTGGAGTTTCTTGACCTTCTCCTCCAGGGTCGTCACTGTAGCCTAGGATCTCTTCAGCTTTAGATCCAACGGAGAGCCCTCCTTATTATATACCACAACCATTTCTAGGACCCTCATTAAAGCAAAGGCATCACGGGAAAGAATGACCCGTTTACTAGGACGGTCCATTTCCTCGAGCTTTAGAGATTCCACCTAAGGAATCGACAGAGAAGACCCCTCGAAGAATTTCCTATTGTGAAAGCAAGGGGGCAGCTCGTATTTGCTTTTGGTGGACTCCCGGCTAAGGTCCACGACCTCGTTTGGACGGGCACGCTTGGGCCTCGAGCTCACGGGTAGAGGCGACGTCTGGGTGGACGGAGGAGTTGAAGATGATGTCCCCGACCCTGAGTGAAGGGGGACCGTTCGCTGACCAAGACGACTCTTCCCCAGAGCAGCGCCGCTCTTCATTTTCCCTTGGTCGTGCTTCATCATCCGTTCTTGCGCTGAAGGCATCTTACCTGCAAAAATAACAAACACGTAAGCACGAAGAAAGAATACAATCTCGAGCAGAATAAGAAAAAGAGAGAACTACCCAGGAGCTCAAGAGCCCCCTCGCGAGTGCTGCACTCAAGGAGCTCTTTAGTGTTTATGTATCGGGCTTCCACGTGCAGCCCACCGTCCTCCTCGTACAAAAGCTGCCTGACGCGAGTCACGCACTGGGCAGGAAGGAAACCATCTACATAAGCCACCAGCTTGGCGTAGCTAGTCCGATCATCCTCCACCAGCTGATAAGAGGCAACTATGTACTCATCAGTTGAGTGGGTAAAGTGAGCCCCGCTCCAGCAGAAAGGAAAGGTAAATAGCCTTCGGGCAACTATCTTGCCCTCCTCATCTATCAGGTCCTCCCCGTTCTCATCCGTGGAGACCTCCCATACGAAAGTTGAATCAGTGGCCCTCTCCGACACCGGTTCGATCATGTAGAATCTCTCCTTAAACGTCCGGATAGATTCGGAGAAGGGTTTGAACAGCTTCCTCCCTTGCTTCAAAGAAACTCAGCCAAACTTTTTCCTCAACACCTGCCATTAGAGGTGAAAGATGGTGAAGAAAAGAGGAAGGGTGGCCCCGATTTACAGATGCTCGCACACCAGCTTGTATGCCCACATGAAGGCGATATAATTTAGGTACAGTTGAGAAGGCACCAGGTCAAGATGAATGAAGACGGCGTGCTGAAAATCCGTAAAGGGCAATCTCAACCCTATCTCCTTAAAGATATACTCGTACATAGGAAACCGCTCCCCGTACGCCGAGAAAATCTGGTCATCTTCTAAGGGAAAGTGGACCTTTCATTCTCCCTCCGGTCCCACCGTGGTGAAGGTGTCCCGGTATAAGAAGCGAAAATAGATGTGTGCTCCATGGGCTCGGCCACCGTCCCACTCATCCACCAACGACAGCGCAGTAGACGTCTCCACGACCTCAAGAGACGAGGAACCATCGTATGCCTCTGTATCCTCCGAGGAGCTATCCTCAGACAAATCTCTAAGATGCTCTTCTTCTTCTTCCTTGCGCGACATCTCTTTTACCTAAAAAGTAGAGGAAAATAGTGAATTCGATGGCAAAATCAAATCCACCCTTACACTGCTAGTCAAGTGAAAGGGCGCACAAAGGTGCACAAAGGGCCGAAGACAGAATCCTCGACCTAAGCCCTACTCAAATGGCGCAGCTAAACAAATGGGAAAGGTGTCTGACAGTTCTCCCTAATGCACCCGAGGGTAGTCCCCGGTCACAAAACCCAGTAATCCCACGGGGAAACCACCAGAATCCATGTCACTTTAGCGGTGACGCCACCGTGTCTTCTCTACCCCAGGATTAACTGAACCTACAGGTTGATAACTTACCCTTCATAAAAAGACCAACTACGCCGCCGGCAGCAGACAGATGGTCGCACCACCGTCTACCACCAACAACCGCCACTAAATACACCCTAACTAAGTCATTTCAATCCTAACCATATGCAATCTAAGGCATCAAAACAGAAAAACAAGAAATAAGCAGAGAGTTGATGCACTTACGTGGTCGAGGAAGAAGTTCTGGAACGAAAACGGCTCTGTTCGGACGTCGTACGGTGGTCGGAACAGGCTTGACGGCAGCAAACGGCGGTTGAAGAAACAGGCACAATAGGAGAAAGAAGCAAAAGTTCTGAATGAACAGACTCTCTCGCTATTTATAGACAAACTCCAGGCACGTGCACGAGCACACGCGGCTAGGGCATCATCATAACCCTAGCCTAGCCATCACCACGCATTTAATGCAGCACACGGCTCAAGGCACACGTGGCATCCTCACTCTTCAGATCCCATCAACCGTTGGGCTCTCTGAATCTCAAAATCCCCGACACCAACGTTCATGACGGTCTGGCAAGTGCTCATCCGAACACAAGGGAGCTCACGGCGACTATGTTCGGGAAGCAGACCATCCTTAAGTCATCACTACCGTGTCCGATAGCAACGACTTGGGGGGCTACTATTCCAAACTGGCCCAATGGCTAGGCATGGCCCAACCCACTTCTACTCCCAGAACGGCCCAATTGCCTAAGTCCAACCTCTTTAGGGGAAAGTTTACCTTTCTGCACCTCAACAGGGGAGGCTGACCTATTTACCTTTGGCCACAACACTCCTCCCCATCAGTCTCTGCCCGTCACGCACGGTTCCACCATCCAGAAACAGCCAATACGCTTATGCTCGTAACTACACCCCTGCCTGTGCCAACGGCTAGTTATGGGCACGTGTGGCCGTCCTAACGACTACTTTTGACAATTACCTATTCTTCGGAAAACGGTTATCTCGCTCCGAAAATAGGGACCAATGGCCAAGCGTTGAGGACATTATAAAACCCTCTCATTTGAGAGGGTCAAGTATCCAATTTCTCACCTTGAAACACACATATTCTATACTTGCTCGCTCTCTGGCTTGTTTTCTTACTTTAGCATCGGAGTGCCTTGCAGGCACACCCTCTCCTCCTCTTTCACACCCAGCATCACAGACGTTTGTCATTGACCCATCTCAGAATTTGATCGTTCGATAAGATCAATTTTCAGTTCCAGTTCATGAATCACAAATACTCGTTGAAAATATAATTTTTGAAATTATTGCTTTTAATACTAGAGAACCATTTTTGAAAACTTTCTCCATTTTCACTTGGTGTGTCAACATCTTAATCATGTGTCTTCATCCTTTTCCTTTTTACCTGAGTTGAAACTTAATAGATTTATTTAAAGATGACTCGCACTTCTTTAGTAGTTTCGTGGTTGAAAACATAGCTGTAGACGCGTGAGACTACGCTCATATAAGCAAAGTTACACATGACTTATATTTCCTCATTCTCACATATGTGAGGCGAAATATTCTCCTCGAATAAACAAAACAAAGTTACGCATAAGTTATATTTTCTCATTCTCGCATATGCGAGGCGAGATATTCCCCTTGAATAAACAAAGTTACACATAACTTATATTTCCTCATTCTCGCATATGCGAGGCGAGATATTCCCCTCGCATATGTGAGAAAGAATAAAAAATATTTTTCTGTTCAAGTTTTCTAATACTTAACAAACAGTGTAACTTGAAATTATGGAGTGGAAAATACAGGTTTCTTAGCTAAATCACATCTCATTTGCAAATGTGAAATTAAAAGTAACATAAAAACAATCAAATATGATTAAAATATAATAAACTTGTGTGGATAGCACATTAGTGTCCTCCCCTATGATTGGCAAAAACAGAAGGTGGGGTACAAAACTAACCAGTCCCTCCAAAGGAAACTTTTACATAATAAAGATACAAACATTTCTTAGAGTTGGTGAAGGCCATAGTTGTCTACCTTAGGAAGTGAAGTATTCTGTGCAAAGCCACGTGATCCCTTTCCTTCCTATCCAGTACATAACTAGCTACTGACTTCAAACAAGGAAGCAAATTCAAATGCATCATTATAACCAATTAATGCAAACACCACATTTCTATATGGTCAATTTGCATCACTTCAGCTTTAATTTAAACCCTCTTTATGTCTTAAATCGGCAAATTCTTCATCATTAATATGAATCACTGTGTGCAGCCGTAAAGACTAATCTCTCGGGACACAGACGAACACAATCGAAAAAAGTATATGGTTTTGAATACGAATTAAATATTTTGTTATGAAATTAAAAGACAATATCAGAGTCACATGGTTAGTTTGATCAGTCAGTATCGCCAGCTCATTCCAAAATAATTTTTTTAAGATTCAAAGATTGGTCAATTACATAGCTGTGCATGTAAGCTGTAACACTGTTGTCACTGTGTTGTGTGAGGCCTTAAAACTTAGCTCAAAACATTCAAAGCATGCATTTAACCATTTATAAATTCAGTACCCTTTTTCCTTTAAATGTCACTGCTGTTGCTTTCTCAACCATTAATGGTAACTTTTTTTCAACTTACCATCTCCATAACTTTCCTACTTCACTTCCCATTTTTAACACACAACATTTATGCCTTGCCTATTCATTATTTACTCTGCTACATTATGCTATAACTATTTTGACCGTTGGACCACTTTTTACCAGGGACATCAGGCTGCAGAGGCGCAAGTTTGAACTCGCGATGCGAAATTTCAACCACTAGACTACTTGACAAAACGAAAACGATATAAGTTTTTTTTTAACTATATAACAGTACAATACTGAATTAATAGTCTTTGTATATATAAATACCAACATGTTGTAACAGTTATTATTATTAACCTCTAGTTTCAGTTTCTCTCAAACATTGTTTTTCTTATATAGTTTCTTCTACCATGTTGTTGTTCTGAAATCTCATGGCATGTTTAGAAATGTACAACTCAGAGCACAAAGGTCATCATCATAATCAATATCATAATCACAGTTTATCAGTGAGTCCAAGAATCTCATTCTCAAACGATTTTGTAGACACACAACAAGTTTCAAACCAAGAAAAAACCACTACTAAATCAGATGGACCAGTTTCAACTGACTTTGAGTTTTCTGTTTCAAACTACTCAATGATGAGTGCTGATGAGCTTTTCTTCAAGGGAAGATTGTTACCTTTTAAAGATAGTAGCAAGAAAATTACTACTCTAAGGGAAGAACTACTTGTAGATGATGATGAAGTTTGTGAAAGACAAGGTTTTTCTCTTAGGCCGCCAAAAGGGTCGTCTTCTTCTACAACAAGGTGGAAAGGGTTTTTGGGTTTGAGAAAAAGTCACATTGGTTCTAAGAAAGTCGAAAAGAGTGAAAATGTTGAATCAAGAAGATCTGGTTTGGTCAATGAGAGTGCAAGGCTTAACATTGCTACTCCACAGGTTAGATATATACTATAAATTGTTTTTTTTATTAGTATTTTCAAATCATTTGGTGTTTGTCTTTTTATTTTGACTTGATTTACTTATTATTTAATATATATTTGATTTTTTGTGGGGTATATATAATACAGGAGATTTTGATTGAAGGAGGGTCAAATTGCAGTGACTTTGAGTTTGGAATATAGATCAAGTAATTGAATTTGTGGAGGAAGTGTTGTTGGGTTGATGGTGGAAATTAGATTAAGGATTTTTTTTCTATCTTTTAATTCCTACATTTTTGTTCTTAAGCGGATTCGGATTAATCAAGGTTGAATTAATGTTATAATGTTTGTTATTAATTGTGAGTTACTATGGTTCTTCTTCTATCAACTTCAAACATTTTAATGATAAACACTTATGTTAAAATGCTTAATTAGAATGATAAACACTACCGCAAATCTTAGTTCAACTGTCAAAAACCGATATTGTTAGATTGGACGTTAGGGTTCAAACTCTAACTCTAACTTTAGCTGTCATGTGTGTGAGTTTCTAGTTATGAACTCTTCGTCTACATATCAGGAAAGAAGAAAAAAAAAAGAATGATAAACACTAATTGTCCTTGGGAGAAAGCTAAGCCCAAGTTTATGACCTTTTCAACAACCAACCTAAACAAAATTAATAGCTATTCTAATTGTGTCACTCATATCACTCCACATAGTTACTACTAAATGTAGATATAGACATCTCAATTGAATTGAACAATTTTTTTCTGTCTAATTTTAAGTTACACAGTGCAGAATTTGTTTATATTTAACCACACAGTACAAGCCAATACATTTTCACATATAACAAAGTTTTCACCAATTGGCAGCAACTTCTTTTTGAAACTTATGTTCATACCTTTCAGCTTTGTGCTTCAAACTCTCAAGATAACCACCAAATCCATTACAAGCTTCTTTCAATTCCTCAAGCTTTGTTTCCATGTTCTTTATTTCATCGTCTACACGACCGTGTTCCTCGGTTCTATACGCCAAGTATCTTCTAGTCTCTAAGCCGTTGTCCGTTTCATAAGCAAGGCTCACAAGCCTGCGCAATCGATGTCTCAAAAACTCAACATTCATGCCCAAATTCTCAAATGCTAGCAACGTTTTATCCCAATTATAAAACTCAAAACGCGGCGTAGATATCACACTGACTTTTATTGCATCAGCAATGTTAACAACTTCAGATATAACTCCAGAAACTAAATTATAGTTCAAGCCTTTGATGAGATTGTCATGAAGAAAAGCTTGTTGACTGTAACAGAGTTTGTAGTACTTGTTTCGAACTTCTGTAGAGAGTTCATTGTCAATTAGCATTCCGTTGACTATGATTCTGAAATTTTCGAAACCCTTTAAATCTTTGAATTCAGGCATTTTATATGCCTCCAATATTTCAGACAAAGCTTCCTCACTATCATTTTCGTATTGTTCTGTATAATGTTTAGCCTTAGTCTCCGTTTTTGATACAATAATTTTCTTTTTCTTTTGCGTGTCTTGTGGGATAGGTTTACCATTTTTTCTTTTTGGACTATTACATGCTATAACATCAGTATCTATGTTATTTTTGCCTGTGAACATGATGAAGAAAAATAAATTATGTTATTGTACTATTCTATACCAATAAAGAATGTATAAATCGTCGATAACTATTTCAAGATAAATAACGATACAACATAGTAAGAGCATAGAGACACAAGTCTTGCCTCCAACTTTTTGTTTTGAGCAACTTTCTTGATTCTCTAGTTCCCTCGTAGCTCTTATTATATAAACCTGAAATGAATAAATAAATGGTATAAGTATAGAAGCTCGATTAAAACTGAGAAAAGAACGATTAAATCAAAAGAGATGAATAAAACCTTAAATTTGGTGGGTTCAACTAATTGAAATACCACCACATCACCCTCTAGCAATTTATGCACAGCGGAAAACTGTCTCCAACCAGCACTCAAACCTGTTTTACATGCAATGTATTTTGTCTTGTATTCTCTACCAGATTCATCTTCCAAAGTGATAGTTATATCCTTATCTGGTAAATGTCTTTTACAGAACGCCACAGGTAGTCCCTATAAAAAGAAATGACCAAACATTTTGGTTTCTTTAATCAATTCCCTTTGTTTCTTTTTAATATTCGGTTTTTTAAGAAAAAAATTCTTATTTGTCGTTTTCGAATTTAAAAGATACATTAACTACTGTTTTTTTTTCTTTTTCAAAATGCTTACCATCCAAAAACAACTAGCTACATGTGATCTGACCAAGGACTTGACAAAACTTGGGAATTCTTGTTGCAAATTTGATCGGAGTCCTTCTGCTTGAATCACAGCCTCGCCACGAGAAAATGTTGCATCTGTTGTCTCTTTAGATGAGCTGCAATGAAAGACAGCGTTCCGACTTTACCATAAGCAATGACTTACTTTAAAAATATGAGTAAATTATATATCAATTAACTCTTGATGCTTTACCAACCTTGCAAACTTATGTGATTGTCCCTCATCAGGTGTTGCCTGTAAAATTGGCATTTGTTAGAATTATCAATCACATAGATTTTGATTTTAAAAGAATTTGGTATTCAAAAAATTACAACGGAGCAAAACCAAACATTTAGATGAAAGTGTCTTCTATTCTATGAAGTACAGACACAAACACGGATACCGTACACGACACTGATATGTTGATACTAATAATAATTTAAAAAAATAAATAAATTGAATGTAATTACAAATGTCGGTGTCGTGTCGGTGTCTGACTCCAACACCAACAGAGACACTAACAAGCCTTTTTTTTTCGAGGTGTCGGGTGCTACAAAGCTTCTATTAGATATTCATATGCATCATTACAAGCAACAAAATTATTTGTTTGTCAAAACTCTTGACTTAACATTTGAAGATCTCCCCCTATTTTTATAAACAAAAAACTTCCAACATAGAAGGCAAGTCCTACAAGCTCAACATAAAATCAAACATCTAGAATGCACAAAAAATTCTTTTCCAAAACTTACTTGTCTGTGTTTATTTTCCACCACCTTATTATGTTTATCCTGCAAATAATACAACATAGCTACAAATCATCAATATCAATAAAAATTCAAGAAATATACACATTGTTCTTCTTCATTCAAAAACAAAATTTGAGGTACATAAAGGTATAGAAAACAACATTTAAAGGAGACTTTTTAGGCAAATGTGCAAGAGGAACACCATCATAGACCTCTCTTCCATGAAATGCCAAAGTTACACCTTGATCATCATATTGTGGAACCATTTGACCCTTCTTCTTTTCATCAACCGCCACCATTTTGGACATTAAGAAATTGAGATGAGTCCCTTCATGAACAATGGCCTTGCATTTTTCTATGATGCAAATGCCATTTGGATGGGATGTGGGGTGGTGTTGGATTTGATGGAAAGAGAGGTGGTTTGCATGAGGGGTGGTTGATTTGTCATTTGTAGAGAGAAAAACTAATGTTTGAGATTTTACAGCTTTGGTGTCGTGTCTTTTTGTTGACGATAACAAATAACATGAGTTTGGTATTAGAATGGATTATTAGGTGGTACGAGTAGTTGAACATGCCAAATATGTGGCAAACCCCTAATGGACACATGGACATACCATACCTTTATGTGTATGACATTGACATGTATGGTTTTAATAACATTTATCTTACACATCATTTTGGTTTTTATTTGAAAAGAATTAAATAAGAATATTTAAAGTATGTTTGATTTAGATGATAAACTAATAACTAACATGCGTTTGTACGGTCATGTATGTCGCAGAATTTTATGTTATAGACATGTAATTGTTAATTAAATTGAAAAGAAAAATAGTAAAATTATAAAAATAGATATAATTAAAATTAAAATTTTGTATTGGTAAGTATAAAAAAATGTTATAACCGTTTATAAGATGGAGTATTTTTTTTATATATAAAAAATTTGAATCAAAATTAAAGTTGTGTCTGTTTATAACAATAATATTTTTTTCGTATATAAAAATGTTTGAATCAAAATTAAAGTTGTTTCCGTTTATAACAGTATTATTTTATGTTATATAAAAAGATTTGAATAAAGATTAAAGTTGTGTCTGTTTGAAATAATAGTATTTTTTTTTTGTATATAACAAAATTTGAATCAAAATTAAAATTGTGCTCGTTTATAACAATAGTATTTTTTTCGTTAATCAAAATTAAACTTATGCTCATTTATAACAATAGTATTTTTTTCGTATATAAAAATATTTGAATCAAAATTATAGTTGTCCCCGTTTATAACAGTAGTATTTTATCATATATAAAAAGAATTGAATCAAAATTAAAGTTGTGCCCGTTTAAAACAATAGTATTTTTTTCGTATATAAAAAATTTGAATCAAAATTAAAGTTGTGTCAGTTTATAGCAATAGTATTTTTTTTGTATATAACAAAATTTAAATTAACAACATATTTTTTCCATATTTAAATATTATTATTGTTTTGACATTGTACATTTAATGCATACCTAGTAATATTTCTTAGTCCACTATAATGAGAAGTGTGTGCCACATCAACCACCGGCTTTTAAAACAACTTAAATTAGCTGAAAGAAAGAAAAAAAGAATAGATGAAAAATGTATAATAAGAACATTGGTTAAGCAACATATAGGTATAATAAGTCCAAATCTAATAGTACAACTGAGTTATTTACTTCCGATAATTGCACAAACATTGGTCAAAAAATGAATATATGGAATATGTTCCTCTTTAAAGGTATCCTAAAACTTTAAACACAAATTTATAAAGTAATAAATGAAAATGTCCATTTTTTCTACAAATTGCATAGCATTATGCATAACAAATCACAACATCTTTTTGCAGATTACCTCAAAAATACTAAAATAACCTGCTTGGACTATATCATGATCTTCTCGAATTATTTTCTCTCTGTATTTTCTAGACCTACACACCTTTATCAAACATTTCATCTGCATTTTCTTGACTTATAAAATATTACATAATGATGATATAAAAACATTCATTGATGATGCATGTACATGGTTACAATGAAAAAATTTAGATTAGAAGTTTTAGTACACAAACATCAAACTGGATCAGATTACGAATAAATTAAATTCAAAGTAGAAAAAATATAACTCATATGCTTATTTCCCAAATTGCTACCCAAAAAAGATGCATGGTCTGCTTGGAGTTCATTGTTCCATTCGGTCCCTGAATAGCTTCATCGGCATTCTTTTTGTTACAAAAACACCTGAAGACATTAAAACATAGCTGTTGCACCCTAAAAATTTGCCCAACCTTATTCACTTGGTTTATGTTTCAATTGCATTAGCATTTGCATATAGGGCCATGTACATAGGTTACTCATCTGCATAGCATAAGCATAGAAAGTCAGCTAACAGGGGACCAATCATTATTCTCATCTCTAGAGGCCTATCAAGAGGTTATTATCCTGATTCAACCTCATTCAAGTCATCAGAAAAGAATTTGGAAGCTATCAAGTCAATGGATCAAGCAGTTCATCTATCTCCTAACTGAGGGTGTCTGAGGATCAACAAAGAAATGGTGAGTTGTGGGCTGAGCATGGGGAGTATCTAGACATCTTGGAGGACTTAGAAAGTCATTTGGAGAAGGAGACAAGTCATTGGTGAAGTCACAAGAATTACAGTTGGAGACAGTCAACTAGGATTTCATCTGGGTCAACCCTGGGTCAACTCTAGGTCAATTGACTGATTGAAAGGCATTAAGGGCTATTGGAGAGATGTGGGGTTCATCATTTGACATGAAGAATAAGGATATGTTGTTATGCTAAGAAGAATCAAGAGAAATCAAGGAGAAGAGGAGTTTCTAAATTAGGGTTTCTGTGTAAAATCCCCTAATTTAGGTCAAACTTCCAAGCAAGATAAGTCAAAATGCAAGCTTCAAATGGATCCTTGGCCAACGTGAAACTTGTAGAGGATCTCAATAACTTTAATTTGAGTGGTGGAAGACATCAAGGATATTTATAGAACTCAAGTTATGGTCCTTGCAAGTTACAGGTCATCTGAGGTATCTGAAGTTTTGTCTGTGAAAGTGACTTGACTTCCAAGCAATTTTTACCCCTCAAGGAGATTTCAAATGAATTTCTGGTCAACATAAGGATTGTTCCTAATTGTCTTAGCTTTCTAGAATGGTATGGTATGCCTTCATATGATTTGTGGAACTCTACTTATGGTCTTGGCAAGCAAAGGGTATTTTGGTCATCTGGTGATTACAGGTCATTCTTAGCCTATACCTAAAACTCATACAAGGGAGCTTCAAATGAAAAACTTCCCAACATCAAAGTTGCTCAAAATGCCGTTTTAAGTCAAGAAAAGAAGTCATTAAAGTTTGGAAATGCATGGAACAAGACTTGATAAAAGTTGGTGGAAAATGACTTAAAAAAGGCATATAACTTGAAAAAGTTCAAGTTGGAAAATGGTTTGAGAGATCTACAAGTCCAATATGGGTCATCCAATATACCAAATTGATTCCCAACATCATTTTAAAGACATTGGTTCAGCCACTTTTTTGAGTTAGGGTTTAAAAGTTGGACTTGCTTTGTATTTTTGTTACTTGCATAATAAGGCAAGTATAGAAAACTTGGCACAAGATGAATTTTCAAGGCAAGGAGCTTACATACACTTCCCATATCTCATGTAAGGAGATTTTGACATAAGTTTGGAAAGGTGCAAGCATGAGATAAGAGATATTCAAAGTATCATGGCATGAGAAGTTCATGAAATTTCCACAACTTTCTAGAATCCTCCAAGATTATTCTAGAAACCTCTAAGTTTGTTAATCATCATCTATATATTGGATTGAGATCATTAAGAGTAAAGGTTGGTGATAGTTGATGTTGAGTCCATTTGCAAATCATATTGAATTTTTTCCATCATTTTTCCATTTTTTCCCACACTTTCACATGTTTGAATTTCCATTTTTTTCAATCCTTTTTCTCTCCATTTTTTGATCATTTCTCATTACCAATTAATTCAATATACTACATAGGATTTTTCCATCAATTTTTGAGAAGATTTTAGTGCAATTCCATGGTTGTATCAACATGAAAAAGTGAGCTCCAAGTGCAAAAGTGATTTTCATTTCCTCACCAATTCAAGCATTTTCTTTGATCCTAATACCTCTACCAAGAATTATTGAAGGTTTCTACACTTTTTTCCAAAGAAATTCGTGCTCCATTAAAGCTCCATAATTCATTTTTTTAAGGTATAAAGAATTCGACATAACTCATGATTTATGAGTCTTTCTTGCATTATTGTTGTTGCATCACATTGCTCTCATCTCCTACATGGATTCTAGTACAAAAAAGATGGTTTTTATGACAATTTTTGGTTCTTGAGTTTTTCTTGAGGTGCCACATTTTGGGAGTTAGAGAGAGTTTCAAGAAAATCTAAGACCATATTTGGATTCCTTGAAATTTTTCCTTCAAGTTTGACTAAAATTTTGTGCGAAACGGATAATTATTGATGGAGTTATGGTGCTTCAAAGTGGCCAAAAATCCATGTGAATAGTGTTGCGGGTTACTATTCATGTGCTGAAAAAATATTCAATTTGGAGAAGAAACATGCTGTCCGTTAGATCTTGGTTGACTAGTTGACAAGTCCTCGCATCCAACGCCTCCCACGCGTCCACGTCACCGTCCACATCGCCCTCATTTATCCAGTCAGCGCCCACTCAGCGCTATCCCCCTCCCCACGCGTGTGTTCGATCCCTGGCTTGCACGGTTTTGACTTTATTTCATTTATATTACTTGTTTCTCACATTTATATGCTTTCATGTACTTTCTTTTATATTTTCTGTTTTATATGCTGACTTCAAATAATCATAAAAAATAGGAAAATTAGTCTTTTTGATCCCCATTTTTTGTGCTGAATCTTTAAGATGTATAGGATTTAATAAAACTGGAATTATAATTTTACCATTTTTTGACATTTTCTTTGGATTTTTTACATTTGGGTCGTCATAAAAAGGCCAATGCTGGTGCTATCATTATGTTGAATTTCTTTAACCTATCAAAACACAATTTAAATGTCAATCCTTTTGCAGGGATCTCATACACACGTTGAGGTATTGTGATATATTTTTGTGGGAATTTTATTGTACCATTTTAATTGGTTTTGGATGCTTTCTTTAACATGCTCCACTTTAATCTTTCCTTTGGTATACATGAGATATCTTGCAATGTTTTCATCTTGTTTGACCATTTATCTTTGGATATTTTTGTGGCATCTCTCACCCCTGGTTTGTGGCTTGATGTAGGGCAT